GCTTTGCATGTTATACCAATTGGGTCTGTCTATTAGTTTGACTTGGCCTACTTTCTCCCTACCTTCTCCCTCCCAGAATTTGTTCCAGGTGTCCTCTCATCATATACGCAACCTCACTTTTTTCCTTGCTTCTTGTCTTCATTGTCCAGTGGAGGAGATTCTGCACTATTTCCATCATATCGCGGTTTCCTCTTCTTCGGAGTTTGTCTACCACTTGTGGCCATTCCTCAGGCTTCAGTGCAACTCTAACTGGTAAATTTTTGTCTGTACTTTCTTTTTTTTTCAGGAGCCTTTCTCCAATTCTTTATCCCATGAATCCCACTCTGTGGTGAGTGGAGCCTGACTAGATATTCTTTACCTCGAAATCTGCACTGTCCAACCATGTTGACTTGCACTTTATCTTCCCTGACTTTGCACGCTCACAGTTGAGATGAGGTGTTCCACAACATTGCTTGTAGGTGCATGACCTTGCGATATTTTGCTTAATAAACATGCCCATCCTGGACTATACCACCCATGGACTGCATGGGTAAAGCAGAAGGGGATTGATGCCCATCCATGCTATGCCTGGAGTAAATAACTCATGTATGGTCTTCTTTTCAAAATAAAGTTATGTGGTCACCCATTGCACTGTCTGTGGTGATGACGTTCCTCCGGACTCTCCACCGCATTATCACCCTCCTTTCTTCAAGTGGAGTATGGGAGTCCTTACCACTTTTCAGTTACAAACCCTTGGGGTGGTTGACATGGAGGCACCCTGCTGAATGAATTCCACACAATAATTATTCAGAGTGGTTGTGTTCTGCAGGTGTAGATGACGTGATATCCTCCTATTTGCAATAACCAATGACAATAGAGTGACACATCAGTATGTAGTTCACATCTTCGATTGGGAGCCCTCATCCTACCCTCGCGTAAATGTCTGTACCTTTTGGGTAGGTTTTGGATTTAGAGTAAATCGATCAACATAAGTCCACATACAGAATTCGGGTTGTCTATCTTCCTCCCTTGATTCCTACATTATGTGTTGTAGGTCACAGTGGAGATACGTGAGATTGTTCCAGTTCTGTCCTTGGCTATCCCTTGTCCTCTCTTCTTACGGGGATGTTATTGCCATTTGAATGGTCCCAGCCTGTTCACGGTTGGGAGAATTTATTGCATGCAGTAGACATCCTTTTGATGTCAAGTACCTACTGAAAATGCATTTCTGATAGGTACTTACCTCCTCTCACACTTCCCACCTTTCCTCCCCACATGGTGCAGACATCTTCTGCCAAACTTTGACGTGATAGTTCAGTAGAGGGAGTCACATGCATCACATGAGTGTGTCATGCTCCTATTGGTGGGGCTGTGATGCATGATGATTTGAATAAGAGACAAGCTGGAATCTTGTAATTCCAATGGGGGGGGGACGGAAGTCTTGTGGCATGCATAAAGAAAAAGTTTGCACACAGAGGGCAGCACTGAACAAGAATAGCTAATATTGTGAGAAGAGGTAAGTACCTATTGAAAATACATTTTCAGTATAGGAAAATTATAACTTTGCTTGAACTCATTTTTCTTACAACTATGCAGAATAATTGATGGGGAAAATATGACAATGTTGGAAGAACATATGTGGTGCACTGACTTCCTGGAACATTGTCCTCCAACCATAACTATATCTTTTGGCCAGACTTTGAATGTTAGTGGTCTTCGAGTGTGGAACTATAACCTATCACAAGAGGATTCTTACAGGGGCGTAAGTATGAACAAGAAGTATTAAAATATTTCAGTTTTTCACTCCTGTCATCCTGCTTTTATCCTTGAGACCATTAAACAAAGAGCAACATAAAATTTATATTTAAAAGTTCAGCACATCATAAACACAAAAATGTCTAGTAGACTATCAAAATAATTTAGAATTATTACAAGGGTCTAAAATGAAACTAACATCTCTATCAATGTATGCTGGAGGATGTTTGCTTTTTTGGAGATTATTAAGTTTTGCAAAAGATAATTGTTCAGGGATTATTTTATTTAACCCTATCGCCCTGGGTATCCTTTACTGAGCGTGACACAAGGTTTTAGTGTCTTACATTCAAAATTTTATTGAACCATTATTTGTTTATGTTATACCAATTAGAATAGCATAAAATCTTAGCTAATAATCCATATTTTAATAGTATACAAGTTTTAAGTTCTTAATTCTACAAAGCAATATTTAAAAAAATCCTGAATTCCCACTAGTGTGACCCACATGAAGCATTTTCTCTTAGTATGTCATCATTTCTATTTTATCCACCACCCCTTGAAAAAATATGAAATTAAATGTAAGTTACTTTCTATAAATTCGTTATCACTCAGGCAAACCATAATTTTTATAGTCTTCAATTTTGTTTTGTTACAAAACAATTGAATAGAAAATCAGACCTCTCCTGCCACACCCACCTGTCACATCCTCTTTTTCAGACTTCGTTGATAGTATTCTCTTACGTTGCATTATATATAATCTATAACCAATAGAACGTGAAAGTTTTCATCTTTCAAATGATGTATTGTATAACATTATGTTTTGAACAGATAATTGTTAATTTCACTCAGAGTACCAACATTGTTCCTGTAGGAAAGTTAATGACTATCTTGGATGAATTTGTAATGGCTCTTTTCACATAGTTAAAAAGCCAGACAAATTTTGAGACGTAAGGGAATTTGTCTACTTTTTGAATGTTATTAGTCTATATTTTTTTTGGTGCATTATGTAATTAGATAAAAATTATTAAGTGCATTACTATCTTTAGTATAAAAAATTAGGGTTAACTCTCTTCAAAAACTGACATCAAGATTGGTTAACTTAATTCTTATGTATAATTTCTTTATGTATAATTATAAAAGTAACTAAAATGTAAAAACAGGGATCCTTTTAGATTTGTTAAGATTAGATTAGGTAAAATAAATAATAATAATATTATAATAAAAATGTTTCATGAGGCACACACGCGAGCAGCTCTTAGGTAAATGTAATTTGTTAGCGTAATGTGAGCTGCACGTTCCCCGAGTGATTTACAGCTTATAATGGTGCGGATAGTAGTTAGATGCATTAAAATAGCAATAAATAATAAAATTTGATTATAAATAGATCTATACTGTTATGAACCTAGAGCTGCTTAGGATAAACAAATGAAGTTTCATGTTACAGTTTGAAATCATTCTAGAAAGAAAAAAAGGGTAATTTAGGTTTATTTCGATTTTGTTTTGGTGGTTACAAGGCGAGTCGAATTGACCAATCCCATTTTTAGATAGGGTAGAGAAAATAACAGATAAACTATAAAGTTTTAATGAATAAAAACATTTGAACTGAATTTAGGAGGTTTCAGGGATTACACAAAGGAAATTTGAGATTTTTGAGATGAGGAAAAGTATTTTTAATTTTAACATGAAAATTACTTTGCACACAGACTATTCAAAACAGATACTCAATATATTCATGGACAAATCTTAATTTTATTTTATTAAAGAATACTTCACTAAAAAATATGATTTTTTGTATGTGAAAGACTTGAAATATGAACTGAAAGTCTGTTAAATTTTGTAAAGATATACCCACTATATTGAAAGTTACAAGTATTAAATCTATAAAGACTTTAAATGAGTACAAAGAGGTCATGTGGTAGGTCAAATTGACTGAACCCCATGTTGAGAGAGTTAATATAGAAATACAGACATTTTAGATGCTTATGTATTTTTTTCTTGCTAAGTGACTTTTTAAAAACTCTCATTCACAACAGTCCGAATACTCCTAGTTAGTTACAGGTTTATGTTTCAAAGTTTTCTTACTGGCTGATCATTATAAGGTGTTAATAACATACTTTTTATTGTTAAAAGGAGAAATAAAACATGACCTATTACTCCAGAACACATAATTGGTTTTATTTAAGCCAACTTTTCACTATTACAGCTTTGTCGGGGCAAACAAGACAGTTCTTTACTGACTTAGGCTTATACAAAAGATACAAACTTTAAACTCCCATATTATACTGTTTCTAATGAGTAATTAATAAAATATTTTTACAGCTATTTTACTTCTGGAATAATTCATTCATTGCACTTCAAAACGTTTTGTTTTTTAGATGACACTTTTTTTATGATTTATATTGAATTATTTGTAAAGTATCAAAAAAAAGATAAACTTTATCATAACTGTAATGTTATAAATGCATTGTCTTTTCATTAAATGTATTCTACTTTTTATCAGGTGAAGCAAATGAGTGTAACTCTAGATGGTAAACTTCTTTCCCCAACCGATGGATTTTTACTTAGGAAAGGACCTGGTCACTGTTATTTTGAATATTCTCAAGTGGTCAGTTTTGATGGTCCACCATCTTTCTGTAACAGTAACTTGTTACAATTATGGAGGTGAGCTTGGGTGATCCTTAATGTAGAAACATGACAATTGTGAAAACTAAAAAAAAATTGTTATGTGTTGACAACAAGTTCATCAGAGTTTAGATATAAATTTTATAAAACTTGGAATTTGTTGTAAACATATTATGGTGCTTTTGGACATTTATGTACTTCATACTACACTTAAAAACGAGCATCAATCAAATTCTTGAATTTTATAAATTGAAGTTAAATACATGATATTCTGACTTACCAGTGCTTCTGAAAAAAGTTTTTCTGAATGTTTTCAATGTCTGTGTACATTTCCTAAATCCACACTGAATGTAGTAAATTAGAGAACAAGTTAACAAAAGTAGGGATTAAAATGAATTGAACAGAATATGCTATTTAATATTTAGAAAACAGCATGTATATGTTAAAGGTAGAAGAGTAACAGAACATCAAAGCATTCAACTCTAGTCTAAACACTAACTTGACTTAGAGGTTTGATGGCTTGGAAGACTCATATTTGAAGTCTTGATCTTAAAGTTTGCCAGATTTTTGAAGCCAGTTTAATAACGTGAGTGCAGTTTCTGTTGGGTAGAGCAAAACAGTCAGGAAGTAAATGTTTCATAGTATTTATTATAACAACTTCCAGGTGAAAGTAACGAAGGGTGTATATTAGAGTGCATCGAATATACTTAGTCAAAAATTTTATTTTGTCATTGTTAGTTGGCAGGGTGTGCAATAGTTGCCTTTTATTATAAGAATTAATCTTATGCAGTATGAAACTCCTCCAATTATATCTTCAACTGCCACAAGTGAATCAAAGTTTGAAAAGTGTATCATCTCTCCACCAAATCAAATAGTTAATCATGAGGACTTAATGATTTCAAGCTCAGAAGATTCTGATGTTGCTAACACTGCACTTTCTACATCAAAATCCTAAGATAAATAAACAAATGAGGACACCGCTTCCAACGGTAGTGAGAGAAGCTGACAGGTACTGTATTTCTGACGGAGCTGCTGCAGCCCTTACCTCAGCTGTTTTGGAAGATATGGACATTATTCAAGAAAATTACATGCTGAAATTGTTGATAGAAACAAGATACGACGGAAACAAGAAAAATACCAAGAAACATTATTGACTTATGATGGTGATAAAAAAATATAACTAAAATTGTCATTAAAAATGGGCAAAAACATTATAAATCTGTAGTCATGGAATAGTACATAACTTTGGTCAGTGAACCTGAATCAATTTTCATGGATCATACTTCTCCTTCTGGAACATCAAAATATATAAAAAAAATTCTATCATTCAATGGTTTTGAAGGTAACAAAATTTCATCTGATCATTTAGTCACTGTAGGCTGTGATGGCACATACGTCAGTACTGGAAAAAAAGCTGGAGTTATGAGGCTTCTTGAATTGCACTTAGGAAGACCTGTTAATTGGTTAACTTGTTTGTTACATGCAAATGAGTTACCCCTGAGTCATCTTATTACGCATCTTGAAGGAGTAACTCTAGGACCGTCTGCTTTTTCTGGTCCTCTTCGAAAGAAACTGAAGACTTCTGAATCATTGCCTTCAGTAAACTTTGTTTCAGTCGAAATTACAGAGGTATTATAGAAAATTGACAATCCTGAGGATCTTAGTACAGATCAAAAGTATTTGTATGACATGTGCAATGTGGTAGTGTCAGGTCATAGTTCAAGAGAACTTGCTTTACGTGACCCTGGTACAATGAACCATTCTCACTGGTTAACATCACCAAACAGGATTTGCACCTTTACATCACAACTGCTAACTCATTCAAGATGCTTAGTTTGTTAGTGAGATATGTAATTGAAGTGTATGCAACAGTTTGGTTTAATATCAAGAAAAATCCCTCATGCAGCCATGGCTCACTGCACCTTTTTCTACTTCGATAAAAAGTATGATTTCTTCCTGAATTAGACAAATATGTGGTGGATGGAGTAATAAAGAAAAATGCATATTTTGCACACCCAAAAATATGCTGCATGCAATGCTTGGAGATGATTCTAAGGCTATCAGACAACTTGCTCTTCGTAGAATATTAGCTGCTCGATCTACCTCAAATTCTAGCACAATGGGACAGTTTGTGGTTCCAAATATTAATACAACATTACACTGATCTAATAATGTGGACCTAGAGTAGAGCCACACTTACAAAAAAGATAAGCAATGTTGGTGTCTTTCATTAATCAAGACGACACACCAGTTTTCACGCTCAGCATGCCGTGTCACACACAAGCAGTTGAAAGGTATGTTAAAATAGTAACAGAAGCTTCAGCAGCTGTTTGTGGCTATCACAAAAGAAAAGGATGCTTTAATGCAACACTTCAATCTAGCAAAATCATGAAAAATATTTAATATTAAGGAACGATACATAATCCAGTAATTCTGTTACCCAGTGGAAGGGTGGGCATGGGTGGAACTTGACATGCAACTACTTCCTCATTGGGAGTTCTGGGTAATTTAGGATATAAGACTCCTAAATTAACTAAATGTTGCATATCCAAAATGATGTTACATTGATTTTTCATATATTTTGATTGTGGATATTTTAAGGAAAATACCCCCCTCATGGTAGTAAAAGATATAATTTTAGAAGCCTGAAACTTACCCACATAATTACTACTATTAAAAGGCAACAATTGCATACCCAGTCAATAATGATACAGGAAATTTATACTTTTGATGCACCCTAATTTATATGTCAACCACATTGTTTCTGTACAGAGGGTGTAATTTTTTTTTATGTACTAGAAGGCAAGAGAAATATACCAGCCCATATTGAAATTCTATCAGCCCAACCATTTTTGTAACGATGACCAGAGTACCATCTATCACATTGTCAAGCTACGTAGATGATAGACTGGTATTTCTGCCACATTAAAACAATGCAATATACTGAAGCATATATGATGCAGGAATGAAATTTCTGGGTTGGTTATCCCTTTCGAGACAGGTCACACGTGAAAGGCCATGTCATCTTGTTTGTTGACTCGCATTCAAAATTTTATTGAACTACAATTTCATGAATTTCTATTCATAAGTTTGGTATCAAACTGTAGATTATAATT